TATGAAAGGGTAAAAGTGAGAGGGTAAAATACTACTTCAAATTTAAATAGAATTTAAATTTAAATACAGAATAAATACAAACTTTTTTAAAGTGTGTTTATATCTTCTGACTTTTCCTGTTTGTACAGTTTTGCAGCATCACTTATTTAAGTTAAGACCAACATTTTCTTGCTACAAAGACAATGACAGTGTTTTAAAATAAGTAAATTTTACACTAACATGGATTTTATTACATTTTGGAAAAGAACATAATCAAATGCACTATGATAAATAAACAACCGTGTTGTGATGGAAAAACTGTGAAGAAGATGTACTACTCGTACTCGACGAAGAGCTCAGGAGACCTTGATGACATGTGTAACAGTGCAGTTGCAAACCCAATTCTGAAGATTATCCTGTTAGGGGATATTTAACAGAAACCAGATCCAAACAAGACCTACACGATCTACTAGTGTCCCAAACATGGTCATGACTCTGATGATCCAACTAGGTCGTGATTCCAAACAAACTAGCCTACCAAAAAGCCTACAGACACTATCCTAAGTCCATGGTCTTCTATATCAAAGTACTATGATATGTTGGATGCTCAGTGTTCATCAGCTGCTCTGCATAGTCTAGTCCTCCAAACAGTCAGAGAGGAGGACAAATGAACAAAGAAGAGGCACAGGCTGTGACCTGGGACCTCCTTTAGGTTTGTAGACATCTTCACAGTGGCGAGAGGAGCACACGTGTGATATGAGCCTTGCTGGTACCCTGCAGCTCCCTACAGCGTCTGCACCCAATGAAGTCTTCATGTAATCTTTATTCTTTCATATGTATCATTCTCATACACCACAATCATTATTATTGATATTCCATTTAATTATTTTATTGTTTTTCATTCTTATATTGCATTTGTCTGTGTTAATACTTTAACAGCTGCAGTAACTTAGCATCCCTAAAACAAGTCAATAACTTTTGTATTGTTGGTTCAGTTTTTAGTGGAGACATTAAAGGTTTAATTTATCATTCATTCATTTAAAGGTCTGTTCATCTGTTTTTGATGGAAATGGTTTTCCACTATGCTGGTCTAAATATCTTTTCATCCAGCTGTTGAATCTGTTCATTTAAACCAAAGACTTTCTCTGATGATTGCTGTAAATTTAACACAGTAGGAGAACCCCAAAGGATCTGCGTGGAGTAACTGCGAGACAAATATCAGTAATTTCCTCTTTGTTTTCTTTGAAATGCCAAACACGTATGAATTTGTTTCACAAAGTGAGCCTCATTGTGACCCAGATTTATTACACTCTCAGCCAACCACAACTACATTCTGCAGAACTGATGTCAGGAAGCCCAAACTGTCCATCACAATATAATCTAATTTTCCAGAAGTAAGTGTGCCACTGAGCCACAGACTATAAGCAAGTGAGTTAAGATTATAGTGCAGTGCAATATAAAATAGAGAACCAAAATGTACTGAACTTGTAGTACATTTTATTACATTTATATTACGCACATTTCTCTAGCACATATGGTAAATGTTTAGGTTATTCCGGGTAGAAAACGACGGTTTGATCTCTCTAAAGCTTCATAATTCAGTGAGTTCAAGACAATTCAACCCAGTCTGTGTCAGTGAGACCAGGCTCAATGACTCCAGGGCTGTGTCCAGGCTCAGTGTCAGCGCACTGGGCGGACTGGCTGGTCAGTGAGCTGATAGGCAGATATGATTGGTTCAGGTGTACAAACCATCATAAAGGCTCCATTGTCCAGCAGAATAGTTGAAGCTTATGGGAATGTGATATGTGGGCTCTGTCTGCGGAGAGAGAGGGAAGACAAGACCCGGCTCCTCTAAAGGCTGACATGTGCAGTTTGCATGATTTGCATTTCTTTAAAAAAGGACGCAGTCAGCTTAATTTTAATATCCTACACACAAATAGACATTTTGATGGTTTTATGTTCCATTTAGTTCAGTTTTTAGAATTTACATTTGCATCAAAGAGAGAGAAAAGAGAACCGAATCATGTCTTCCTATGCTGTAATTTTTCCTTAATAATACTGCTTAATACTTTATTGGGAAAGTATTGTTTTCTTGTGTATAATTCTCAAAAGGAGGAGATCTTTCTGTTTCTTAAAACATATTGCTAAACAGTCATACTTGAGCACAACAACAAAACAAAAAGGTTGAGATCAATGCATCGTAATGAATAAGCAGAATGCAATCACATCAGTGTAACTGCACTGCACTTGACCTCTGCGTCTCTGTCTCCCTGCATCTCCTTGATTCTTCTTCACTGGACCCCATTGTCTTCTGCACCTGGTGCTGGAATCCCAAACATTTTGATGATGCCAGATAATGAGCTCGATGATGACAGAGCAACTGAGCGATTGTGTTACCAAACTTATAACTTTCTTCATTTATAAGCCAAGAGGATTTCACAAAAGGCAAAAATACAGGTTCATTAACTACATCAGATAAACATAGTTAGTTTGTTCAAAACTCACATCCTAATCAATAGTTTTCAATAGTTTCAACAGTGTGCACCCTTTATCAGTAAGTTCTTCGAGCAGCTTCAAAAGGACAAACACGCAGTTACTACAGTTCTTTTAATAGTCTAAGTGACTTGGACATGTGCTGTACTCTTTAATAGTGACGCAAATATACAATAGATACAACACCAAAACATTCCCTTCCTTCCCTTATAGGGTTATATTTTACAGTTTAAACACACCATTTTGTTTTTACCATCTACATCTGCACTGTCAATATAAACCCTGCACGCTGTGTATACATACACATACTGTACATAAACATCCACTTTATGTATATTTATTCAATATTGATCTATTTGCACTATTTGCATTGTTTACAACTTACAGAAACACTTGACTTGTATACAGACATTTATCTATGTTGTTGGTCACTGGTGATTTTAATACGCTTATGTATTTATATGTAGGCTATTGTGTGCATAACAGCCCTGTCTACTCTTTTTTTAGCTTTGTTCTTAGTTTAACTACTCAGGAGTCAGTCTCCTTTTAGCCTACACACGCAAAGTTGATTCTGATGACACACAGTTGTGAGGTTGTCAGGCTGCGGTGATAATGGGTGTAATATCACTTCTCGGCTTCTCAGTTTTTCCATTCAAACTGGCGCACGTTTACATACCTGATCGGCAGCAATTTTTAAAAAAACATATATATTCCTTTCTGAATGCATCAGCGCGTTTATGCGTGGACGAAAGAGGATTGGAGTTATTTTACATACCTGAGCTGCGGCGGACGAGTGTAGCCCAAAGAGTTGAAGGCAAATTAAACTCGGCCGAGGTGTGGTGTTGCCTCTTTCTTTTTGTTGTGTTGTTTTTCGAAATCACGAAACCGGTTATTTCACCATAAATCCAAAAGGCTCAGGTTGTCTCCATTTATCCAAGAGAGAGAGAGAGAGAGGGAGAGAGAGAGAGGACTTTTAAATGAGCTGAAGAGCGCATGGGAGCGTGGCCCCGACGCACTGCCTGAGATAAAGATAGACAGACAGAAGAAACAGAGAGAGGTAGGCAGACAGAAACAGAGAGAGAGAGAGAGAGAGAGAGAGAGAGACTGGCAGACAGACAGATAGACAGACAGTGTGAGAGAGAGCGGAGGCGGGCGGTGTGAGCTCAGATGGAAATAACAAGTTCGGTGCAGAGAGGTGAGGAAGAGCGCCAGCCCGCTGTCTCTGTGACCTGTCTTACTTTATGCTCTGCGCCTGTCACCAGACACAGCCACACAGCCGTATACAGAGCCACATACAACAGTCATACAGTCACTGAGGGCTTTAAGTAGGCTAAGTTAATAATTATTCAGTAGGAAGTGTTTTATCACCTGTGTGTCATTCCGGCGTATCCAACCTCAGTGTTTACTCCTTCAGCTTTATAGGTGACTCTTATCTTGGAAGATGGAAACTTAAGTACAATTACTTTCACTGGAAATGTTGTAATTTAATAAATATCTTGCATTACAGGCACCTGCTTCGGAATAATGCGCCTTAAATTGCCGCTATCAGTTGTTATCACCATTGTAATACGCTCTGCACCTACAGGCTGTCCAGGAGGTGCATGTCTTCAAGATTTTACATGCACAACATTTTGTATCAAATATGTTATAAATTAAACTACAACAACAATGTATATATTTGCTCTATCACAACCAACTCTAACAATAAATGAATACAGTGCTAATAATAATCCAGTATAAAACTCATCTGGGCTATTTTTCTGCACCATGAGTAGCTTATATTCACTTTCATTTCTTCAGCTTCATTTCACTGATAATGCTGTTTGCTTAAGTGGTAGTTTCAATGCATGCCAATTAAATGTAATGGAGTATTTTTATATTGCAATATTGCTAGGTAAAGGATGCTTTGAATTGCCATTCCGCAAAGTGAGCACTGTAACTTTTAAAGAGTCTACTTTTTATAATACTTAAGTAAACATCTGAATGCAGGACTTTTCTCGAAATTGATTATTTCATGGCATTTCATTTACTTCAGTAAATAATCTCAATATTGGTGGATTCAGATCTTTTTCATCATCAAGAGTAAAAATGCAAGGTATCAAAAATGTAATTATATAAATCAATTTAATTAGCTGAAAATTTGCATTTAAGTATTTGAATCAATTGCCGAAAGCTTGCTTCTGTAGTATGTTTGCAACCTATTAAAAAAAAGTGGGTGTGCAAGAACAATATGCAGGCTTGGTCCTTTTTAATTTGCATAACAGTAAAATCAGATGTGTTTAACTAAATTTTTAGACAATGGAACTGTTGAAGAACAACAAGTCAAATAAGTCAAATACTTCCATCAGAACAACAGAAAAAAAAACACACACACATTTCTCTAATAATAATTTGTTGTTGTTAAGTTGCAGCCCGATGTAAAGCTAGAGATTGTGGTTTGATGTGTACTATGGCTCATTATGGCGGAGTGCTGCTCCATCACGTCTCCGCGGTGAACACGGAACCAAAGTGATGGTCATGTGATTCCATTCAGGACTTCTTTAGCGACCGCACTGTTTACCTTCCGGTGCGGGCAGCAGTAGCGGAGGACTGCACCACTTTCTCTCAGTATGTACTCTCACGGCTCCGAGAGTTTAATTAAACAAGCAAGGTAAAAAGAAAAGGGAGCAGTGTGTGCGTGTGCGTGTGCGCCATTTCTTCTGCTAAGCTAACTATGCTAACGCTAGCGAGCCCGTCGGAGCATTGTTGTGTTGTTTGAGCTCTTTGACGTTATTGTTATTTAGCGGTACTTTGACAGGTGTTTGTCACAGCTAGGGCTGCCGCTAACAACAACCTTCATCCTCACGTCTGTTGGTTTTAATAGTGTAACGTTAGTTAACTTAATATGTTTAAAGCAGTAACGTTAAACACAAAAGAGGAACCAGCAAACTTTGTTTTCGTGAGACTGTAACCGGAAATACTGGATATTTATGTGACTTTTTTTCAGCTAAACGACCTCAGGGATTAAAGTTTATTTATTTACGGAGGGACAAGGCACATTCATTTAGCCATACAGGCTCATTTTAATCTCAGTGTCATAAACAGACAGTAAAACAATGACCTAACCATATGAGCTCGTCCCCAAAATCACATAAACACAGACAATAGTGACACAAAGACATAACCAGGGGACATATAAAAGACACTGAAGGATCAACAATCAAAAATGGAGTTGATTAATATTGTGTCAGTCGATCTGGTGGCACAATGTCTAACTAATAAGTCTGTGCGTGTCCTTTCTAGGGAGATCCAGGAGTCTGAGCTGCAGAAGTTTTACAGCAGATTAGTGAAGCTGCTCCAGGGGAAGGACTTCGGTCACGAGACTGTCGACTCGCTGCAGAGACTGCACCTCATCCTCTCTGCCTCCAAGTACACCAGGACGTAAGAGTCTACACCTCCCATACAGGACGCACGAGCCACAGTCCATTCACACCCAGTTTAATCTGCTCATGTTAGACCTGTTGATTCGTTCACACTTTCATGTTGCTCCTTTATTAGTCTTCCTTCATCACTCCCCCATCCTCTTCTTTCCGTCTCTGTCCTCCAAACCCCCTCATCTGCCCACTCAGGTAGCAAGCGGAAAAAACAAAGAGCCACAATGCCGACCTTCGCCTTCCCAGTCATTAATCATATTCTGATTCTGTTCCAAACTCTTTAATATTCAGTATTAACTTTTATTCACCTCTGCCACCGTCCTGTCTTCTCTGTTGTCATTGACCGAAGGTTGCCTCCGGAGCTTCAGAAGAGGGTCCAGTCGCTCCTCTCGTCACCTGCAGAGCAGCTTCAGGTGCTGAGCTCCGCTGTGCTGAGAGAGACACCACCTCTCTCTGGTCAGGAACTGAACTACAACCAGGAGAACGTCAGTCAACTGAACAGCCACGCTGCTGCCCTGCTGCTCTCACAGGTAGGCAGCAGTTCATACGCGGTGTTCACCATAAGACATTGTTTGTTGCCTCTCTAATTGTTGGTGATTATTGACTGATTGATTGATCCACTAGTCATTTTGCCACAACTTTCTATTCAGACAACATGGAGTGGATTTTGTTTAAAGAGTAAAAAAGCACTGTAGTTTGTTTTGGTGTCCGTTTGCGTATATAGAATTGTATAATAAAATTGTTTGGTGGCTGTAAAGAGAGAGAGACAGACTGTTCATGGATTCAGCACACAGTTACTTATTAACACATAAAGGAGCTTGTTTTGTTTTCATAAATCTACACGTATTACTCAAACACTGTCTCTTTCTAACTGTAACCCCAACAGGCTGGATCCAGGGCTGACCTGTCGTCTCTCTGCGCTCAGCTCCTTCGCAGTCTGGAAAGCCGGTCGTCAGAGGGGCCATCTCACTCGCTCACGCACACCCTGCCCATCCTCAACACCATCCTCACACACAGCCCCCAGTGCCTCACTGAAGGTAACAGACTAATTAAAAAAAAAAGCCAATCAGTGACCAAGAGGATATAAAGCAGAAGTTTTCACACAGTTCTTTCTCTCCACCTGACTTGCTACAGATCAAGAGACACTCTTGAGTAAAAAACTTGTCGACTGGCTGCGTTATGCCAGCATCACTCAGGGAGGCGGTGCTTCCTCCGGAGGATTCTTTACCGGGCCCAGGTCACGTCAGGTGAGCGATCTATTTTCATATTTACCCTGTAAAGCGCACTCTTAAGTTATTTTTTCACATAAGCTTTACTTCTTTAATGTCTTTCTATGTGTGTGTGTGTGTGTGTGTGTGTCAGCCGGCGCCCATAGCAGAGCTGGATGGGACGGTGTCAGGGGATTTCTTCACTGTGCTGTGTGTGGGCCAGGGCTTCACTGACGACCAGTGGATGAACGTCTATTCCTTTTCCATGCTTCGCCACTGGCTTCTCACCTACCACTCTGTTTCCAACGACAGCACCACAGCTGACACTGGTATGACTTTACCACCAACAGAAACCACAACCCGTTGCCATCCCATGCTAGACAGGCTCATTACTTCATGTATAGCTACAAAGTACAAACAAGGAACATCAGCCTCAAAGTATCGACATGGAAGGCTGTAATTCACTCGCTGTGTGTTTTCATCATCTCCAGCAAACAGGCTGCAGCTCAGCCTCTCCCTCTCCCACTCCCACTCCTTTTCTAATGGTAAGACGTGTGTTTTTGGACCTTCCCTGCATGCACGTGCCTCTGAGAGGCTGTAAATAAGCAAAACTCTCACTTATCTTCTGTTTATCTTTAATCTTATCTCAATTCTCCGCACTTGATGTGATCATGACTCACAAGCACACTTAAACTAACAAACCATCCCCCCGAGAAATGCTGATCTGTGACTTCTTGACCACACTTTCACGGGGGTTTGCGCCTTTAAATCTTCCTTTTAATCCTCATGAGTTTTTAAACATGAATGAATCACTGTGATGAATGACTAATACACTGCTCTGACAGCGGCCACATGGGATGTTACTATGCTAAACATACATGCGGCAAAGAGCTACTGAACCTGTTGCTTGTGCTGTGTGTGTAGTATAAAGCCAGACTCTGCCCTTTACTATTTTGATTGTGTCCTCTTGACACTTCTGTGAGTTGATGTTAGTGGTCTCAAGGCTTATTTGATCAAAGTACCAGTCCCTCCAGGGTTTTGCAGGCTTTTTTGGGGATTATTGCGGCCTAAAATGTCTGATTTTCTAAACATTTGCGATGTTTTTTTCCAGGAATTGGTTACATTTACAGTAATTTTGCCATCACAACTCGTCACTTGGTGCTTTTATTTCTGTTCGTGCCGAAAATAGACTTGGTCTTCAAACACAGCAGCACAGTGACATCTGGTGGTTTGTAAAACTTGTAGCACCCCTTTAAGACTGGAGCCGAAGCCCTACAACACTCAGTGGTGGAAGAAACGTATTTTCTTGTACAATGACAAAGTTTCTACACAACTTCTCACAAAATCACATAGTTGCAGATTTATAGCTTCTGGTGGTGGCTAGTTCCTCTTGACTGAAACATTAGTTTACAACCTTTCCAATCTTTGTAACTCCTACTCTCTGTTCAGATTTGGCAGCAAGCAGTCCGAGAATACATTATCTGGAATTTATTAGAATATATCATCATTTCTTTGAGGAGGCTTATAGTCGTGACCTCTCGTTCCTGACCTCCCATGTTGCAGATGACCGGTCGGAGATAGATGGGTCGGTGGTTTCTATGGTTTCAGCCACGTCCTCCTCCAGCCGACTGCTGCCTCCAAAGGAGCGCCTGAGAGAGAAGGCGTTCCAGTACTGCCAACGCCTCATCGAACAGAGCGATCGCAGTGAGTGTGTGTGCATTAAAGTAGTGTGCGTGTGTGAGTGAGAGAGAAAAGTAAGTCAAGTAATTGTAAATGCATATTTCAAATGAACAACTTCTGCACATGAATGGTTATCTATTCTTTTGTATCTGTACATTATATTTGACTGTGTTAGCGTGAACAGTTTGGATGTGTATTCTTCTTTCTCTCAGAGGCACACAAAAGGATAGATGCAGACCTGCAGAAAGCGGTGAGTCTGAATATCATTTAACACAATCACTTTACTAATATTAAGGAAAGAAATCCACCCTAAATAGTCATCCATCTGATGTATTTCCAGTACAGTAGCAGTAAAAACAGTCAGGTGTATAATATTGGTTGGAAACACTGTAAACCTTCTTGTCTCTGTCCTGTTTCTTCTCTCAGTGTCTGGTGGAGGCGGTGTGTATCCTGGACTGTGTGTGTGTAGAGGACGCCTCGCTGGTCTACAGAACGTTCCCGTGCATCAAGGCGCTCTTTGGTCGGCTCAGCTCAGACCTGTCGTTTGCCAGAGTCATGCTGCCCATAGCACAGTTCTACCTCAACCATGGTGTGTGTATACACATCAACATGTCCATGTGCTCAACTCCACATATGTCTGTATTTCTCCAAATCACATAGTACATATGTTGTACATAAGCAGAAATACGGATGCATATAAGTTAAAATTCCCGTATTTGACTAATACTGAAAGCATTGGAATTTTAAATGTATTTGAACGTATTTAGGTGAGATGGCTGCAGTGGATTGTGAGAGTGTGTGGAACCTGGTGTTTGGCCGATTCCCTGCCGAGCTGTTCAACGACCACTTCCTGGCACATGAGCTTCTACGCTTCCTTCGACTGAACCTCGAGAGCCTGCAGCTCCGAGTCCCACAGTACACCCACTCCTTCCCAAACCTGCTCAAGGTGAAAACCAAAGAAAACTCATCCACACAGAGATCTTTTCAACTGTTCTCACACACCTACTGTAGGCTGGAGAGGAGTACATTTTCTACCAAGTGAGGGATACACAAGCTGTCTGCTTTCTTTCTCTGTTTGTCTATGTAGTTGTTAGCGTGGGACAGCCCGGCAGCAGTGGATGACTTTGTGGATTTGCTGCCCTCTCTGGTGACAGCTGGGACTGCAGTGGAGCTTCTCCACACTCTTTTGGATCTGCCCTGTCTCTCTGCCACACTGGTCTTGCAACTTAGGTCCTCGCACACATCAGAGCAAAACTTCCTTAAAAGTGTCCAAATTGCCTACTAGACTGTTTTGACCATGTTCCTGTTTTTTAACACCATCTCACTGGGTTTGTGTGTGTGTGTGTGTGTGTGTGTGTGTGTGTGTGTGTGTGCTGTGTGTGTGTGTGTGTGTGTGTGTTGCAGGTCAGCTTGTTTGCCCATCTCTGAGCCAGGCGGGCGTGGCCTCCTGTCACTTGATGCATTTCGAAATCCCTCTTTCCGAGGGCTTTTTCTCTTCCTGCTTCGAGTGGAAGCAGGCTCAGGTAATCACAGTCACACAATTAAAGGAACAGTTTGACAATTTGGGGAAATCATTTATTCGCTTTCCTACAACCCCCAACCAGCAGATTGTAGCAGATGCTAGCTGTTCTGCCCTCTTTAAGCTAAGCTAACTGGCTTCTGGTTGTAGCAGTTGTGTAAGAGTGGTATAAATTGTTGAACATTTTATATTGCTTTTATTATAATAAATTATATGAATAACGTGGTGTATTCCAATTACTTCTTCCTGTGGCCAACATGGGGCATTGTTTCCACAAACAGTGATAAGAATTTTCCCTAGCAATGTTGACTGTGGTTGTTCAGACTGTCATCAGTGATTTTGAAGGTTCACTGGGGAAAAGCAGCTGGCAAATTTTAATCTTTATTCTGGAAACATTGCTAATAACCCATTTAATCACTGTGCTTTTTTATCTCTCCACAGGTGACACAATTGACCGTCTGGGCACACTCCATGAGCTGCTAGCTGAGGTTGCTGATTGGCCGAGAGTTGTTCAGTGTGCCCAGACTGTCCCTGTGCTGTTGCACATTTTTTTCAACACAGTCACCACGGTGAAGAGATTAGATGTTCATTACAGCTGCAACTACTGCACGTTAATATGTGTAGTTTCAGTTTATAAACGATATGTGTGTGTGTGTTTCTAGGTTGCTGATGAGAAGCTTTTAGCGCACTTGGTTCTGGTCATGCTGGAGAGAAGCAGCCTCCTCCTCATCATCCCTAAATACATCAAAGAGATCCACAGGTAAACGCATACAGACGAACTTAAGTGTTTCTCTGCTGTATGTCTTCACCCTGATCTTCTCACTCGCTCCGTCCACTCTCTCTCTGCAGGGTGTTCAGCTGCCACCTGCTGAGGCTGTGCAAGCTCCACCCATCTCTGGTGGTGGACCAGTCTCATGAGCTGCTGGAGTTTGCCGGAGCCACAGCCAACGTCTACAGCAAAGAAGAAATCTACACACATGTGGTAATGAAGCTGTGACAGAACTCTGCATGAGACAGACGAAGGCTAAGAGGAGAATCTTGCAGATTTTAAAGCTGATACTTTTTCCTTTGTGTATTTTGGATCCCGTTCAAACGTCACTGCATCTCATATCTCAAGCTGTTCTCACATCTCAGCCTCTTTTCCTGTGTATTGAACTATGATCAAATATCACACTAAACAGTGAAATGTGCCAAAACCTGACACTGAAATAATATTTCACTTGTTTGGCTTTCAGGTGTGGGTGCTGGGAGAGTATCTCTCTGTGTCATGTGACTCTCGCTGCTCCGTGAGGCTCATCACTTCCTGTTTTGAGGCGTTAGAGGCAGTGCTGTTTGAGGTCACTTCATCTGCCCCACCACCTGGAGCGGTTTGCCCTGCCCCAAGAGTCGTTACCACTCTAATGAGCGCTCTGGCTAAGCTGGCATCACGATCACATGACCTCATACCCAGGTGTCTGACAACCATACAGATGGATTTATTCATACAGACACACAGTATGTAATGTAATGTAATTTAATTGTGTTTGTCTATTTTAGGGTGTCTCTGTTCCTCTCCAAGTTAAGAACAGTAACCAGAGGCGGGTCAGTTGCCTGGTGTTCCGATGAAGAGGACCTTGTTGCCATAGTAACGCGAGGCGAGGAGTTGTGGTCGCTGCTGAAGGCCCCCGGTGTGGCTCAGAGCGTCCTGACCCCACCTCCACATGTCACAACACCCCAGTGGCACCGAGACATCAACGTGGCCATGCCACTGCGACTGCGGGCCCTCACCAACCTCACACACTCACAGTGACACACACACTCACACACACTCACACACATAAATCAGTGAAAAGAAAATCAATTCACTCATGAAATGGGCTTACTATTGTATCTTGTTTAATTTTTGTACATTATTTTTGTAAATAAATCACATTATCTGATTGAAACTTGGTGTTATGAAGCATTTTTGGCATCCACAAAATGCAGTATACTGTAATATAGTGTCTCTTCTTTAATACAGTGAAAACATTTTTTTACAAAATACATCTTTTTTTTTTTTAAAGAAAGAAATGCTTACTTCCTGAGTAAGTGCTCTGTTGCCAACAGAAACAGTTGAACTACTAAAGGTTAGAGAAAACCTGATCTAAACAGTGTTTAAAGAAGTATAAAAATGTGCACATATAATCTACATGTATAACATGCCTGTCTGTTAATTCTGTCATATTCAGAAACTTTTAGGAAATTCTACATTTTATTCATCCCTGTTGCTGATAGAAAAGTGCTCAAGGTTGAGAGTGCATCACTTAAACAAAACAACTGGCAGTCATAGTCGTCTAAACAAGATAATCAATGCAAATAGCCTTGACATTGTTTGAGAATTTAACATTTGACCCAGAATACAGTTAGTATGACATCAGCTCTACGATTAGACTTTTAATCATTTGAATCACATTGCAGTAAAATCATTAGAGATTATTTTGAGGCTGATTAATGACAAATACAAATCACAGTGAGTGTCTGTTAATTTGTGTCAGTGTGTCACCCAGCTATTATATAGTGACCTTAAGTCTGTCTGCAAATTGCTTAACACAGTCAAATGTCAACCTATGGTGAGTATGTTTGTTTATGAAATCAGGGGCAGCGTCTTCACAGAATTTGGACTTTCCAAACATGACATGTCGTGACAATATTTTCATGTTTTGCTGCTGTGCAAAAATGGCTAAAACCAAAATAAAAATAGAGTAATTTGTGACACTGAGTTCCACTATTTAAAAGTGGGGGTTAGCACCAATATATAATTCCTGTGTGGTTACTTTTGGCACATCACTTATGGTTGAATATGGAAAGGGTGGAGTTTACTAGCTGACTGTATATCGTCTGTTCAGTTACAGAGATTAAAGTTCTCCGTTTCCATTTTTTGTGCTAGGCTAACCAGCTGCTAGCCACATATGTCAATCTTCTCATCTAACTCTCGACAAGAAAGTTAATAAGCATAGTTTCCAAAATGTTTAACTACTCCTTTAAATGAATATTGGCAATCTATACTACCTGGCACGTTGTATGTAGCCCTGTTTGTGCAAACACCTCCCATGTGTTGATGAACACAAATTGAGATTCATACCCAGGGCTGTTACTCAGTTGAATTTCATCATATAGCATGTTGAAATAATTTTTAGTTGAACAGTTTGGTCCCATGGTTTTGGCCCCACCTTTGGAGAATTTCATCTGATCTGTCGCAGTCAATACTGACAGTCAGATCATCTCAGCACCATCTCTCCGTGTGGCGCCTCATGAGTCAGGTCAGTTGTAGTCAAAACACAGTGGTCTTGTGACTAAAATACACTTTCCTCAGACATGTGGTGTGAAATCACGTCATCTTAGGTGGCCTAGTCACCTTGATGTGTGCAGCAGTGGCCCTGGTAAATACAGGTACCTCCAGATGGCATAATAATGAATGCATGCTCCCGCTGCAACAAAGAGATGCCAGATGGCGTGGGCAAAAGGGACGAGGCCATCGCTCTTAAAGAAGACCACGCCCACAACATAGAAGACGCCTCCCAGTGCCAGTTCACGGACACCTGCACGATCCACCTGGAACATTTAAAAACAAATATAAGAGTATAAGAGTCAGCAGAGTAAAGGATATACAGCTTAAATAAAAGTGCTTGAGCCTTAACAGTAAAAGAAAAAAGACAAGGTACAAATAATAATTACAATAGGGCCTTCGCATGGTCAGTGCTGGGTCCCTAATAATCAATCTAATATAATCAATAGGCTTCCAACGACATCGATTGGACCTCTAATAAATAGTCTATTCAAATATAATATATGGTTTTTGCAAACCATTTTCCAAAGCATACAGCCCAACATTTCTGATCCAACAGCCACAGACACGGTAGAAAAGAGAGATTACTACAGCATTATTGTTTTTTTCATGAGATTTGTAGATGATAAATCTATAGATGACCTCATATTTTCACAAGGAAGACTAAGAGTCTACATGCTAGCTGCAAGAAAGTTTCAAGTCACTCTAAAAACATAAAATAGTTGGCAGTTACGTTACAGTGACTAGATGTGGTTTGTAGGTAATGGGTTAAAACAAACAAAAGCACCGGTTTGTTTCTTTAAATACTGACAGTGTCTGATTCACACACAATAGCAGGAAGCCTACTGCAGCGGAAGAGGGGCTTTTTGTTTCTCAGAAGCAGAGAAAGACAACGCTTATACCTTTGTGGTTTGTTCTTACCATAGACAGGATGACCAGAGCAGGAACAACCCCCATGGCCACATATCCAAACAGCTCCACCAGCTTGTACCTGCAGGCAGAAAACTGGGACGTGAAACGATAATACCTCAAATTTTCTATGTAATTGTTTCTGCTTCAAACAGCGGTCCAGTGTTTGCTGTAAACACCTGAGGACGGAAGTTTGATTTCAGGTTAATTGTGTCAAACCAGGACACAGACACAAAGGAAGACCGTGTTACCTTTCGTGGAAAAAGAAGACATACATGGATCCTACACAGGCCATGACCCATATCAGCCAGCGCATGTGGCACGACCAGGGTCCCAGCTCCCTCAGCATCAACCTGAGGAAACACATCAGTACGTTCACTATTGGAGAGATTGGTCAACCAGCTATATTATCCACCAGACTGCATATATTCTGTAGACTGCAATCACGTGACCCACCAGGGAGAGTAGGAGGCAGCTATGAAGAAGTAGATGGCCATTCTGTCACACATGTGGAAACGCTGCTCCACCTTTCTACACAGAGACAAAAAAGGAGAGATGAGAGCTCATTTCTATAAATAAGTCATTACCTGTTGATAATCATCATCTCTAAAGGAGCCCAGTCTGCTGTGTCAAAAAAAATTTAATTACCAAGGTACTGTAATAGGTACTGATGTTTGTTTCAGCAGATTGTAAAGTCTCACACGTTCTGAAGGAAAATTTGATTGTTGTGAAAACACACACACACACACACACACTGACTCTGTCCTTCAACATATAAAACAGTGCTTGTTGTGTCTTTTTGGACTATGGTGTCTGAAAGGCCAGACAAGTTGGAGCTGGGGACTTGGAATCTATTCACCAAATTTGTTAAATACTTTAATAAAATAATTAATAAAAATTAATTCAGTCCTGGGTGATGTTCTCCATCTGCTGTTTTCAGGGGAACTCATGTCTTATTAAGAGGAGCCAAGCGCCCCCTGGCTCCCCTGTAGTTTGCACCCTGATAATACACTGATAACATGTTAGTCCGGATTAATTCAACCACATTTAAAGAACATCTGCCCTATATACTTTTCATGGTTAGAGATTGTGTGTTTTGACAGGAAAGTGGTTCAAACTTTAAAGAGTTTGTTTGAATGTGAGAGTGTGAGTGAGTTTTTTGAGGGTGTGAGTTGAAGATGATGTGATTACCTCGCCACATCTGTTGTTTGGTCTCTGGCCTTCTGGCTCTGTCATAATTAACAAACTGTATGCTTGAGTGTGATGTAAATGTCTACCGGAGCAGCACATAAACACACACACACACATCTGCCAAATCCCTACCAGCGTTTTCTGCTACACACACACACACACACACACACACACCGGAGGTGGCTGATTTTCCAGGCAGCAGTGTGGAAGAGTGTTGAGGTGACAAACAGGCCGGTGAGACCGCTGCCATAGAGCCAGGCAGCCACACGATGCCATTGGTCCACAGACAGGAAGTAGAGCACAGACCCGCCCACCAGACTGGGAAGAATCCACAACTAGAAAAGATCAGAAATACACAAAAATGTACTTTCACATAATTTTCTCTTGATACAAACACTACATTTTACTTTGTAAATTAGACTTTTCTGAAGAACTTTCAGATTTCTGTTCAGACCAAATGCATTAATCTATGTAAAATAAACTTTAAAATGTAATAACTGTAAACACTCTGAATGTAACGAGGTACTAAAGTTAGTAGATTTTAATTACCAGCCTCTTCTGGGAAAATGTGTGTTTGTATTATATGTCTCCCTAGTTTCCTGTTAACATTCCTCTAGTTTGGGAAACTTCAATAAGAATCCACCTACCAAACTAAAGCTCACTAATGAACATAATTTAAGTTTAATCCATAGTAGCAGGTGGATTTTGTAGCCTTTGGACAGAGTCAGTCTTATGCTAAGCTAAGCTAACTGTGTGCTGGCTGTAGCTTAATATTTAGCGCACAGACATCTAACGCTTGGCAAAAAAGCAAATGAGTGTTTTTCCCAAAAGGTTGAAATGGTTCCTTTAATTAACAGGAAGTGATGTTTAGCTGGCAGAGTGAATGAATGGACGAGTATCAGGGAGAGATTTCACTCAGCCCATTTGAGGCATTACAGTCATTACTGCCATATTTCCTCTCTGTTTTCTTTTAATCTCTCACTTTCTGTTTCATTCACTGTTGGTCTTGCTCTCTCGGAGGCGGAAGCACGCAGGGATTACAGCAGATTAGAGAAAGCTACAGGCTGAATCACAGATTATAACCTACTGCCTCAATGGCACGGCCAAAAATCCTCCCCATTCCTCACAATCCTTCCCATCTACTCAGAGGCTTCTCTGAACTGACAAACTCACTAAACACAGAAAGCACGGCGATAGAGAGAGTCAACAAAAGAAAGAAAGAAAAAAGATATCTGTTACTGAAAGTGTGTGTGTGTGTGTGTTTCTGTCTGCATTTGTTTGGCTCACCCCATGTGTGGCACAGTTTGCAGCATGTTCATAATCAGTGGGCTGGTATCTCTTACTGGCTGGCACCCTGTGGTTCATGAACCTGAGAGAGAGAGGTGAGGTGAGGTGAGGTGAGGGGGGAGGAGACAGAGTGAGACGGATGGAGAGACAGAGAGAGAAAGGAAGGGGGGGGGGCAGAAAGGGGTGTGTTCAGGTAATGAATGTAGATCTGGAGCCAAAACAAGGTGCTGCTTTATTAGTTAATAAGTTACAGTGTGCTGAACCCACGAAGGCCAGTGTGTGTGTATGTGCGTGCGTGATGGTCATTCTTGGCGGATTTACAGGTCTCTAATCCACATCACGTTTTTAGTGTGCCTCATCGTTACTGGGGCAACTGTCTGCGTTGCTATGGTCACCAGTGATGTCACTGTCTGTACTACAACAACAGGATACCGCTGACCATTAACCATTAACGACATTTGCATTATTTCTTGTCTTGTTGCGCTACATATAGTGCTACTGAGGAAGTGTGTGTGTG